GTACACACATTCTTTTCATCTCAATAATCAATCCCATAAAAAAAAATTTCAATTTGAACCCTAGATATGGTCAAAATGAGTCCCCTCAAAAAATGAACCTAGAACATTAATTTTGTGAATTTCAAGATCTTAACTTTTAGAAACTCAAAATCATTTTTTTTTTCTTTTTTAACATTGTTCATCTAATAATAATAAAGCTATCTAAAAAAATTGGAATTGAAAAAAATCCTTCGAAGGCTTAGATCTCAGCATCTCACTAATCTGACCGAAACGGAAGTAGCAGGCTTTGCTTTACTTCGGTTTATGCATAAAATCCGAAGGCTTTGGAAGTGAAGTGAATTTGAAAAATCTTGGAGTTGCTTTCTTGCTTGGAATCAAATAATCTAGAATGTTGGGAAAGTCTTCATCTTTTAAATCTCACCAAATTTTGAAACCTTTTCAATTTTATGCAAATCTCCTCTGCGTAAGAGTTGTGTCATTTCATACTAGGTGCACCAGCATACATGGGGTACAAGATGGGGTGCGTGCCTGTGGGGCATTATATATTGCATTTGGTGCAATCATTTGAATTCGTCTATACTCCATTATAGAATTTGAGATACATGGGATCCTTATCAAACACTATATAAATAGGGGATCCTTTGTTGTACTTCAAGATTTCCCCCGAGACTTCTGAGGTCTATTTTTCTCCTCTTGAATTTTCCATTATCTTTTGACCATGCCTTTTTCTCTTTATACGTTACTATTTTTATTTGAGTGGACCTTGCAAAAGTTTGGGCTAACGGGTTCAAAGCCAATTGCTTCCCAAATGATTGGAAACATAGAAAATGCCAGACCATATAGAGTAAACCTGATTTACCTAACCATAACTTGATCCGATTTAGCATATCCGGTTGGGATCATATGGGAGTTCTTACAATGGCAAGGAAACCGCACATGGATGCGGCGAAGCAAATACTGAGATATGCAAAGACGACCACTAATGGAGGCATGCTCTTTTTGCACAAAATTCCGACCAAACTCACATGACACTGATATTAGTGATTGCACAGGAGATCCAACGGATCATCTCTCAACATTTGTATGCAATTTTCAATTTAAGACCTAGAACTGTATTATTGGCGAGCAAGAAGCAACATACAATAAAACTATCATCTATCGAAGCAAAACATAGAATTGCAATGGTGATCACTCCAGAAAGTGCGTTGTTTGTGGAATTTACTTGAAAGAGTATGGATAAGCCATGGACTACAACATACCAATTTAAAATGATAATGTCAAATTAATCATATCGGATTGAATACAATCAACCAATGTCGAATCAATCGTGAGCATTGAATACAACAAAGACAATGTCAAATCAATCATGTAAAATATATCTTTCCCGCTCACGTGAAGCACATTGATGATGTGTATTATTTTTTTGTTTGCAAGACTTGATATCCGCATCAGCCAACGGCAGATATATTCATTAACACCGTCAATCAAGAAGACAATAGAAGTCAAGCTAGCCTTGGGCATAAAAACAATAATAAACAAAAAAAAGATAAAAAATAAATAAATACCGGGACAATAGATGAGGTGGTACTGTATTACATTATATAAGATTGGAAAATCAAAATGATTCTAATAAGGGAAATATTTATCTAAGGTGTCAACCTTATAATGTAGACGTAGGGTGCACCTAAAAAACCTATAAAAAAAATGTCATTTTGTCATTAGAAAATTATACAATTGATCATCTTAACCT